CTTATGGGGAAATTTGCTTCGGGTTGCGACCAATTCGGGCTGTGACCAGAGTCACGGAACGAATTAAGTTCATAACCCGAGGTACCACTGTATATTCAGCATATAGCTGGGCTTAATGGTCCCTTCCAATTTTGATTCAATTATTCTTTGAAAGAAAATTATTTGTATAATTCCAAAAAATAACAATTCAGGGCTTAGGTATACAATCTCTGTAGTCCCAAGCACCAAAAGCCTCTAAAGTCCTTTTCACTCAGTGGGCCAAAATTTGCAGCCAATTGGGGGAGGGGTGTTGTTGCTAGAACTTCAAAGCTCCCTCTCCAAAAAACAAAATAAAAAAAAACTTAGCTAATTACTCTCAGTTTTAGGAAACTGATTACTAAACTCTCTTAGTATTTTAGCCCTACTGATTTCAACAGTTGGTATAGAACCAATGCAGTGATAACAAATGTTGGGCATATTGCTCAATATAATCAACATCATGGAAAAAAGGAAAGATAAACATCAGCACTGAATCAATAATGAGAATACATACTTTAATTGAATTGATAACATTTATAATTTGATAACATACATTCTGTGCATTCAATAACATACATCCTGAGTATCCTACTTTTTAAAAAAGATGATGGCTTTGTTTCTGTTTCTCAGGGAACAACATTTGTTGCTTTCCTTAGGGTGAGATAACCCATAATAACATCTGAAGGAAGCATTCGGATATAGGCAAATTCCTCAGCTGTACTAAATCTCAGTTTGCTCTGAGGGTCAGTATAGTTTGCCTACAAGAGAAGCACACATTGAAATGTCTAAGTGGAAGAGTCTGAAAATGTACATTTTTAAAAACAGTGAAAATCAACATTTGAAAAGTATACCACAGCAAACACTAGGAGGTCACTTATTTTTCCTTCTACTTTTGTTCTATCCATCATATTTCCTAATCATAAAAGTTTAAATTTTAAAATCTGTTCTGAAATGGATTTTCATACTTTACTAATTTTCCACATATTACTAATGGTTATCAATACCTAAAGGAAAGGAACAGTATAAATGTGGTAATCAGACATTAGCATTGTCATAGAATCAGGCTTCCAGTGAGTCATGGCTGACTGAAGACATCTCCATGAATGAGTGGAGACGGCGATCACTGTGAAGAATGAAAAATCAGCAAACAGACCAGTCCTTTGAATCTCTGTGGAGCGGGAGAGATCGGGAGATCATTCACCAGTGCTCTGAATGTCAACCCCTCGCAAGAACATAAAACTGTAGTCTCCTGTGGGTTTGAGCACCAGGAGCTGAGAGAGATGACATCTTTGCTCTCAGCAGCAGTGGAGCCTTTCATAAGGACACTAAGCCAGCCAAACTCACTTTCTAATCACATTCGGAAATGTTCAATTTAACCACTTTATGGATATTACAGACCTCCAAAACAGCAAGGTTAATTTGACACCTGGTGTGATGGAATGTATCTATGAAGAGGAGGGTGATGTGAGAGATCACATCTATCAGGAAGGAGAGGGTGCATTCCAGGAAGGGAAAGGAGACAAAAGACAATACAATCCGCAGGGGGAATGCGGGAAACGAAAGAGGTTCAGGATAGCCACTCCCTAGAATCTCCCAGGGTATACAGGAATCTCCCTTGAGTTTATCCTCTAATCTAAGAGGTAGATTAGATTCAGAGAGAATGTCTGACTATCACTCTTAAAATGCAAATAATAATCTATCATGATGACTCAAAAATGGTTCCTAAGTAACATTTGGAATTCTTCAGTTTTAAATTATAAGGGAAAAAATAGAAGATAAACCTCTAGAGCTTTTAAAGAAGAGGATGGACAGCCTCCTCTCCTGGATGTTTAACTGTTTTTTCTGCACATTGCAGAGAGTTGGATTAGATGTTCCTCATGTCATTTCCAACTCTAAAATTTTATGATTTGCTTGGCAAGTACAGTGGGGCAAAAAAGTATTTAGTCAGCCTCCAATTGTGCAAGTTCTCCCACTTAAAAAGATGAGAGAGGCCTGTAATTTTCATCATAGGTATATCTCAACTATGAGAGACAAAATGGGGAAAAAAATCCAGAAAAATCACATTGTCTGATTTTTAAAGAATTTATTTGCAAATCATAATATCAAAAGTTCATCTCAATACTTTGTTATATATCCTTTGTTGGCAATGAATATCAAAAGTTCATCTCAATACTTTGTTATATATCCTTTGTTGGCAATGAATATCAAAAGTTCATCTCAATACTTTGTTATATATCCTTTGTTGGCAATGAATATCAAAAGTTCATCTCAATACTTTGTTATATATCCTTTGTTGGCAATGAATATCAAAAGTTCATCTCAATACTTTGTTATATATCCTTTGTTGGCAATGAATATCAAAAGTTCATCTCAATACTTTGTTATATATCCTTTGTTGGCAATGAATATCAAAAGTTCATCTCAATACTTTGTTATATATCCTTTGTTGGCAATGAATATCAAAAGTTCATCTCAATACTTTGTTATATATCCTTTGTTGGCAATGAATATCAAAAGTTCATCTCAATACTTTGTTATATATCCTTTGTTGGCAATGAATATCAAAAGTTCATCTCAATACTTTGTTATATATCCTTTGTTGGCAATGAATATCAAAAGTTCATCTCAATACTTTGTTATATATCCTTTGTTGGCAATGAATATCAAAAGTTCATCTCAATACTTTGTTATATATCCTTTGTTGGCAATGCTGGATCATCCAAATGCTCTCTAGCAAACTTCAGACGGGCCCGGACATGTACTGGCTTAAGCAGGGGGAAACATCTGGCACTGCAGGATTTGAGTCCCTGGCA